TAACAGTTTTGATGAAAGTGTGTTTATGACAACTGTAAAAGCACGTTTTATTATTATAACACGACTCTGGGGAAAATATGCTGTTATAACCACTTTGAAAACTTGTTTTTATAAAAACTATATTTGTTTTAATTTTATGATAATTTTAATAATTTTTTGTTAGTTTTACAAGAAAATGCTTTGGTATTAAATAAAAAATGCTATCATTAATAATCGCATGCTTTCCAAGCGTAGAATCACGTATTAGGTACCAAGTGTATTTTGGTGAGGTATGTCTTGTTTTGAATTTCATATACATAAATATCATCGATCACTCAGCGCAAGTATGGGATGATGGAATGCTTGGAACATTTCGGAAATTTAGTTTCACAAACAGATTAAAGCTCCGGATGTACCTTGTGCGAATATAGCTTGTTACAGTTAATAAAGATAAATAAAAAAACAAACAAATATCAAGTTACCCTATAAAATGTTTCGTAATTTGAAGATATAGACAATGAATGACTGCTATTTTATTCAGTGTTATACAGAACAGTAACTACATGTCGATGCAGCTAAGGCAACAGTAGTATAGTGATATGTTTTGTCTTCATGCTATTCGATACAGGGAATCAAAAATTAATCAATTTGTCTTCCGCTAATGTCAGTTCAATGTTGTTTATCTTTACATATTCTAACGGGGACAAAATTCGTATTATTTAAATAGTTGTTATATTAAATGACTTGCATTACTCTGCGAATAATTGTTTCCCAATCGTAAGATGTAAATTTATATATATATTTATTTATTTATTTCCAGGATTATCTTAATCGAACAGTTTACTTTGTTATTCCGCGACCAGTTGATGACGTCACAACAAGAAAAGATGACATAGGAAGGTCAGTTTTATTTCAAAATTGTGAAATAATCGTACTAAGGATAAAAAGTTGGATAAACCGAAAACAAGAACCCCAATAACCTGAAGGTTTTGGAAGTGTTGTATCCTATTTCAAAATTGTTAGGATATCGGCGTGATTTTGAATATCTTGATTTCAAAATGTTTTAGCGAAAGAAGAAGAATTTTTTTATGTTCATAGTTGTTTACCTTTTGTTTTATTTTTGGGTATTTTACTTTAAATCTGGATGACTTATTAGTTAATTTAAACTCGGAATTAAAACAATCGTTTGTTCATTAATTTTAACTGGCAGAAACGCCGCCCTACGGCCGGCTGTTTGTGATAGTAATTACTAACTGTAATATTCATACCTCATTGTAAAAAGTGAAATTTTCTAAAAAAAAGTGGGTTTTTTCTTGGAAGTACTGCACGGGAAAAATGTTCGGATTGTGCTCTTTATGTATACGCAGCTTATTGCATCAAAATGATCAAATGTACAGAGCTCAAGATTTTCATCAATTTTAGTGATAACTGTAATTTTTTATATGTTAAAAGTTCTACCCTTTATTCAAAAAATAAAAAGACCTAGTGAAAGTGGTGTTCTTGTTGTGAGGAGAGTACTTTTATTTAAAATTGTGTTCTGCTACAAAGAAATGGATGTTGAATACCCAAAGTGTGAATTCTTTATGGATATTTGTTTGTGGTTTCAATCAATCACAACTTCTGACATTGAGATGTTGTATGTCAGCACAAGAGATGACACCATTGTATTTTTTATTTTGGTCATATACATAGATAAATGGATATATTTATATATATATATATATAGAGAGAGAGAGAGAGATGGCCACGCCATTGCGCCATTATAGTAAAAATATGCATTTACATAACTCTCCTTTTTTGAATTATTTAATTTCTATTTTTGAACATCGCTCGTATTGGTAAATTGGGTAAGCTCATGTTGGTCAGAAAAATTATCCATTGCGGAAATACGTTTCTCGGTTTCCTTTTTTCAGTCATATTTTTGATTAGATAGACGACCATTCAGCCTATTTCTAGCTTTAGTAGACCTCTTACTGATCCAAATCAATGGATCGAAATAGTTGACGACTGTTTCTAGTTCAAAATGGAACATTTATCTTCAAAATGTAAAAGGCCTAGAAGTTTAAAAGGCTTAACATGCTGTCGTTGTGAAGGTGATTGATTATCGAGTTCTGCTAAACTGAGTCGGAGACGTGCGGGAAAAGCAGCCAAAAATATATATTGGCAAGCACTAGTAATGCAACAAACAGTAGAATAAAACAACGACAGATTACAATGAGAATATTGTGAACATCAATGACGAAGTTGTACATGATGAAGATGGCAATATGGATTTTATTAAGGCCAAAACGTCATTAATTGAATGAAGATAGAGATGGTTGAGGTGATGATGAAAAAGAAAGTCAATACGTCAGGAAAGAATGTAGAAGAGTGTATGATATCAGAGATGTTTTCAAAATAGATGCTTTTTTGACGAAAAATTTACCAAGCTGAAAATCACGTAAAACTGAATCATTTAGTCCTGTTGATAAAGTAAGGCGTATAATTACCTTGAGCATTTCAATACTAAAGAAAATATGCTCCGTTATCTTACCCAACGATATAAACCAGTTATTGCTTAATATTGAAAACAAGTTGTAAAAGATAGCAGAAAAACCAAAGGATTCATATCTAATAATAAGTTAAAGATAAATATAATTGAAGTACAATGAAAACTTCTGTTGTATTCTATTCAATGAAGGGTGTTATTAGCTCCATTGTGTACTTTACTACAAAATGATGGAGTTTTCTGTTTATGTAAAATTGATATCAAAACCCAATAGACTACCTGATGTTCTGGCTTGATACACTATCTTGTAAACGCATTATAAATGAAACTGTTTACAATTGTAGTGCCAGTTATTTAACATATCTAGCTAATATTCGTTAATACATCGATTTTTATATGGTCATATCTTCATATATACTTAATATTTTGCTCTAAAAAAGCTGTGAAATCGTTATAATTAATACTTTCGTTTAGTATCACTTCCCCAATCGAATTCCAAGATCAATTTTTGGTGATTCCACACCTAGTACAAAATGTTACCCAATTTGCTCATACGACAAGTCTTAAATGTAATTCAGTTGTAGAGTTAAATTAATGATTGAGCTTCATCGATAATAGGTATATATTTTATTTATTTTTGTTTATACATATATATTCAGGTCTTTAAGTAAGTTGATTGGATCCAGAGTACTCATTTATTCTTTGGAACCTCTCGAAGGAGGTAAAAAAAAGTAAGTTCACTTTTTCACGGTTTTAAGACTTTCAATATAAGAATGGTATAAAATGATGGTATTTAAGGCTACCAAGATAATTTAAAGCACGTTCAATGAGGATATGCTATTAAAGTCTAAATGAGAGTATTTTAAAAATCTCGATATACATTTTATGATTGTTCATATAAAAATAGATGAGAATTTTTACGACTGCTAATATGAGTGTATTTTAAGGTTTTTCCGAGATGATGGGACATTGAGACTGTCAGTATGAAAATGTTTTAAACTGTAACAATGAGGTTGTTTTCGAAATACTGTACTATTAAGTCTTATAAAAATAGAATATTATGTTAGATAACTATATTTGTCATACCTTCGCCAACATTGCTTAATATATATATATACTAGCTGGAGTACCCGCCTCCTGGACGGAAGTTATGTAAATTCATGATTGGTTATCTTAAGACATGAAAAGTTGCTTCCCTTGCATGTAATTAAAAAAAAACACAAAATCGCCCATAAAAAACTGCAAAACACAAAATGTGAAACCGCTAGTTTGCATGTATTTTCACATGAGCCCAACAAACCTTCATGCCAAATTTGGTGAAGATCCATCAATAAGGGGCGAAATGTTGATAAAAAAAAACGCAAATGCAAAATTGGACATGTTTATGTATCTTCATGAACCCAATAAACCTCCATACCAAATTTGGTGAAGATCTATCCACAGGAGGTGAGGTAGAAGTAAAAAGCACAGAAACACCCATAAAAACTGCAAAATGCAAAATTGAAAATTTGTATGCACCCCCGCATGGACTTAATGAACCTCCATACCAGCTTGGGTGAAGATTCATCCTCACCATACGAAGTAGTTACATGGACATACAATAGACAACAGACAGTACTATTATATTTATATAGATATACATACATTCATAAATCACGATCTTTTTATCTATTTAGGTTCAAAAATACGTAATAAACTATATACAGTTTTACTTTTGCTGTACTCTGTAATGAATCCTGTAGTATACACTAAGGATAATACAATCGTTGATGCCAGGATTTGTAAAAACAAAATGAAGTGTTTTTTAAACTTTCACAGCTAAAACTAAACACACTCACAATTAAAAATGCCGGGTGAAGACTTTTACAAACTATACATCTCACTTCAAAAAAACTTCTAATCCAATTCAATAATATTATTTTGCCATAACTTCAAATTACAAAACGCACACATACTGTAACTAATGATAACTCTTAACACTTCCTACCGAGCTTAAAACAATTACTCAGATAACATGTGATATAATAATGGAGATAAAGCTATGATACAGTTATTACTTTCTTGCGAGAAACTACCATATAATTAGATTTAAATGCTAAAATATGAGAACCCAAAGCATTTATCCAACATTGTGCAAGATCCAAGGTCTTCTGAAGAGAATGATAAATGAAAGACAACTTATGACCCCTTTTTCCAAATTATGATATCAGCGAATATGGCCCTATGATGACCTCTCTGAGGAATTGCATTAATATTACCAAATAATCCGTTAAAAATGGAGGAATTTAGTTTCGATCCCTGCCTACCTTACAACTGGAAGAGTGCACCATTGACTGAACATTTTGGATTTTCACTGAAAAAAGTATAGCTATGCAGGTAGTTGTGCAAGTATCTTTGGAAACAACCCCTGATAGCTAAAGTATACAGTTTAAGAAGAAGTGTATCAGCCTGAACACGTTTAAAACATATTGTATATCTAGGAAGACAACAACCTTAAATGGCTGGTGCTAAACTGATTGATTCCTGCCAATGTAGCAAGGAAGCAATGGTACTCCATACCTTGTGAAAACAAGCTTCTAATGGAGACAATGTTTCATAATATCGAAGAGACCAAATAAATCTATCATTAATAATGTGTTCCAAGACTTTAACAATACAAAAAAACAAATAAATAAGTCGATATCGGTGAGGAATCTGGTTTTCCTGGCATAAGAATAGCTATAATATTAACATATTTCCTGGTATCCAGCCAGTATGTATAAGTCACGAGAATTTAAGTAGCACAGGCATTGCTAAGCTCTCAAGGTAATAGTTATATTAAAATAAAATTTATTATACATATATTATATAAAACTATAAAAATACATTGGAAAAGTGACGTCTTAGGAATCGATAAGTATTCTATCACAAGGTAACACAATGATTGCATTCAGCATTCCACCTAGGACATCTTTCATGAAGGGATTTGTGAAAACACTGTGAAGAAAACGAGTAGCGTGAACAAACTATAAAAAATAGCAGCCTGCATTAGATGTGATTTAATTGTTGTTAAGCGAAAATCTACAAAATGAGCTATCTGTGCTTTCCCCATCACAGGTATCGAAATCAGATTTTTAGCGCCGTAAGTTTGTAGGCTTACTGCTGAGCAACAAGGGGGCACCTGCATTAGAGGTAATGAGAGTCAAATATTGAATACAGGAAAAAACTAATAATGTTTTACGTATTTTGAAAGGTTTGATAACTACGACAGAAGTTTAAATGCTATAATTGTTTCATAATTAATGTAATCACCACCAAAATAATCAGGAAGTATAGAACAAGAACTCCATCCACCAAATATTGGTGAAATAACGTTCAATTTCAGAGGACTAAGCTTTTCATTTCCAGCATCCAACCTAGAAAGAGAGCTATCATTGAGAAGAACAAAAGAACGCCTATCAAGAAATTTGTCCACTGTGTAGCCATTAGTATCAACTTTATCCGATCTCTACATAGAATGACTCGCGTTTAAATCCTCACAGAAAGGGAACAATCAGTCAGTGCAAGAACTGTCCACCAGTTGTGTTTGGGTAACAAGGACGTTAATTGAATGCTGAGAAGTTTTCTTTGGTAACAGAGTTATGTTTGTATACTGACTTAAATAAAGTTTCACTACTTCTGAAAACAAGGTTCAGATGTCGGTGGAAAGGACAGTTTACTGTAAGTCGAGCCAGGACAGTTTACTATAAGTCGAGCCAGGACAGTTTACTGTAAGTCGAGCCAGGACTGTTTACTGTAAGTCGAGCCAGGACAGTTTACTGTAAGTCGAGCCAGGACAGTTTACTATAAGTCGAGCCAGGACTGTTTACTGTAAGTCGAGTTAGGACAGTTTACTGTAAATCGAGCCAGGACAGTTTACTGTAAGTCGAGCCAGGACAGTTTACTGTAAGTCGAGCCAGGACAGTTTACTGTAAGTCGAGCCAGGACAGTTTACTATAAGTCGAGCCAGGACAGTTTACTGTAAGTCGAGCCAGGACAGTTTACTATAAGTCGAGCCAGGACTGTTTACTGTAAGTCGAGCCAGGACAGTTTACTGTAAGTCGAGCCAGGACAGTTTACTGTAAGTCGAGCCGCTCTCTCTAAGAATAATTTTCCTTCACCCGTAGGCTATCAGTTTTGTTTTGGTTAAAACGACCTGCACTGTAAGAGTAGAAAAAAACATGAAAAATGAGCTCCACGGATTATACATCACGAGGATTCCTTTATACAAGATGTAGCCCCATGATAATCGCTGTCTACCTTGGCAATGGTAAGCAATATGACGAAATAGACAACGGTGGAAATACTAGATTATATTACTTACGTATGGCCTCACCGACAAAACATTCAAATCCAACAAAAAATCGTGGCTTGGCAACTCTATACCCTAAAAATGGTTACAATACTCTAAGTATCCCCCATGCTCTCTCTGTCTTTTCTAGTTAACCTGCAAACACCATAAATTTGTAACCTGATCTACTTAGTTTCCATGCATACCTACAGTAAGTATTTCCAGAGATACTCCTGAAATAATTCCCTTACGTTTCCTAGTAGCTCCAGTGAACTGTGTAGTAACAGACTGCACACTATGTTTTGTTCACTAAAGTAACGACTTGGCTACAGAAACACTAGACACTTCCACCACTATCCAACCATCAGCTAGCTTTCTAACCTACTGAGTACCATCAGCTTATTTGACGATGTACAATATTGTTTTAAGGAAGAGGTTATCTTCTGACTTTCGGGCGACTCAGAGCATAGATAGAATAGTCTAGAATTAGTGTATTAGAATTAAAGAAGAAACTAAGCCCATATGTAAAAAACAACAACTATAAACCATAGTATGGTAATTCATGGGGAATAACACACGATACTCGGAAACTGAACGAAATAGAGTTAAAAGAAAAACAGTAAAATACACTACTAAGACAAAAAATCACTTTCCTATTAAACACAAGCGTCTTGACCACCACCCCACGGCATATCAGTCTTCAGTTTATCTTCCTATTGTACTTTTATTTGCTACCATGCTACGAGATTACAATTCCGTTCAGTGCAGGACGATAGCTAGCTATTGAAAAGCATCTGACCGAGTGACATATTAATTTATTGTAGCGAAAAAGCCACAGCACCACCATATGCCAGTCATTGTCTCATTGCGAAATAGTAAAGTTCTGTAAACTCTAAGGGTGTGTGAGGCGGTATTGTACATAAACAAACTTTAGAGAGCTCAGCTAAATGATAAAGGAAAAAATGCGTAAATATGAACATAATAATAATTTAGAACAATTGATGGAATATTATATCATTACTGTTGTTTTGATTACAAGAAAGTTGAGATTTAAATTTTGACTTTATAAAAACTTGTTTCAGTGTTTACTGCAAAGTTAAAATGGGCGATTGTGAAGAAAAATATCATTTTTTAAAACTCTTAACGTGACGGTATTTTTAAGACCGTCAAGAAGAAAGTTTTAAGGTTATAAAGATAAAAATGTGATTGTAATGATGAAAATTGTTAAGATGATGGTATTAAAATGCTCTGGCTGTGAGACTATTTGGAAGCTGTCAAATATCAGGATAGTTTGAAGACTATCAAACAAAGTGATTTTTAAGATTGCAATTTGTAAAGATTTGAATTTTTCGAAGGTATTCTCTAAAATGATGGTCTTCAAAGACGGTTAAGATGAGGGTATTCTAATTTTGTCAGGTTAAGGATATGCCAAAAGTAAACGCATTTTAAGACTGTAAATCGTTTAAAGTTAAAAATATTTTAAGGTGACCCTTCAGTTATGCGCAGATAGCTTCGTTGCTTTTCACCAATAATCCCAACAACCCAATCCTTCAGTAATGATATAAAAAATTCTCGAGGAACCAAACATTTAGTCACTTTTAAAAATATATTAAAAATTCTAGTAAAACAGTAAATTTAGTGTCGATATTAAAATTTAACGAAACAATGCATTCAGATACAATACGATTAGCCCAGTTTGCCATGAGTAAATACCCTTATTTTAAAGGGTTTTTTTTTTTAATGTCATTTACAAATTTACAGATCATTAAAATAATATGGATTACTACTGTGGGCTTGTGCACTAAATTAAGGCGACATCTACCGCCATTGACTGGAAACTTATGTAACTTAGTTATTCCTTCTATATCGAAATGCATTATTCTGTTTCTTTTGCAACATAAAATCAATAAAAAGTCAAGATTAATTTATACTTCAAGAATCCTAGGAATCTGGTAATTAAAAAGAAATCAGCATTAAGCTATGGAATAAGTTCGTTTATCATTTTCTCTGCAGCTTCTAAGCTTCTCTTCTAAGAAAAGAATGTTTTACTGTTGTTTTCTTTGTTTATTGTTAAGCACAAAGCTACACGGTGACTATCTATACTTTACCCACTTTAAAGAAGGTATGATAGTAAGATATGCGAGTTGTGGTACACAACCATAACATTTCTTTATATTTGTCAGGACTCTAGCGAAAGCCTGGGTGTCCTTCCCCCAAAACTCTACTGTCAATACTGAAGATATGCAGCTCGCTGTAAGGTAAGAACTGATTGATTTTAATGTGTTAGGTCCATTTTTCAGTAAGGTAGATATAGAATAAGATGTTATCTGATAGAATTGAATGTGCTTTCAGATGAAATAATTAATTTATAGATTTTTATTAGTGTAATACACTTTAATCATTGAATAAACAAGTTCAGAACAGTCCAGTTGCTCAACTGACTCAAGTTATTTTCATTAACACGGGTCTGCGAATTTAAACTTCATAAAAGTTGTTTTGGTTTTAATAACAGCGTTTCTATAATTCAGCTGCGCAGATTTCGAAAATGATATTCATTTTTTTCTAACACGTAAGGATATTTTACAAATCTGGAAGAAAAATAACATAGAGTCTACTTTGAGACTGATAATGGTTGGAGACGGCTTGAATGGGTAATGAAGAAAAACTTTAATATAAGTTTAACATAACAGCAAATGTTGTTTG